CCGCTGCCTTTGCTGCCTTCTCTTCGGCAGCCTTGAGGAGTGGCTCAGCCGTAGCGTTGAACTCTGTTAAGATCCGTTCAAGCGTAGGTCGAGTCTCTATCCTCTTTATCCAGGCCATTACGTTCGGGAATTCGGTCTCGGGATTGAGTTTGTCTTTCCACACAAGTCTTGGGAGGAGCACTTGCCATGGGTACATTGCTAGATCCGTATAGGTGCATTTGTCACCCATGATGTAGTTCCTTGGGCCTTTTCCATCACCTCCATCCTCGCTACCAGCAAGCCACTTCTCCAGTACGCCGACCACGCGGTTGATTTCGTTGTAGTATCGCTCGATGGCACTGGGCACCTTCTCCGGGTGGTAAGAGATGAACCAGAAGTATTGGCCAAAGTAGGGTCCCTGGCCAGACATCTGGAAGTGAAGCCATTGGTTTGCAGTGTAGTATTCGTTGGTGTCATGTGGAAAGCTAATTTTGTTCTCTTTATCGTACTTATCGACGATGTAGCTGATGATTGCTCCAGATTCCCAGATTTTCAGATTGGTGTTTGGGTCATAAAGGGCAGGGGTACGGCCATTTGGATTGATATTGGTAAACGGTGGCTGTTTCCTTTCGATCATCGAGACTTCTTCGGTTTCATAGGGTAGACCGAGCTCCTCGAGAACAAGGGCAACTTTGAAGGGGTTGGCAGGGAAAATCCCGCCATATAGCTTCAGTGGTTTGATGGTAGACATGATTGCTGGTTGATTCTCAGTGTTGTTGCTGGTTTAGCATTGTAAACCCCCTTCTGCTGCTGGGACCGATGTTGCTTTATATACCTCCATTCCTACGCCTAGCTCCGTCTTCTATCCCCGTAAGCTGCTGCCTGGAGGATCGTCTTTTGGGGAGCTGGAGAAGCATACCCCTTGGAAAATGCCCCTATTCACACATTTCGTCCGTTGAAACCCCAGGAAGGATGTTCTGGCGGACGAGATGGAGCCGTCCGCCGTGGGTATGCGGATGTCCGGCTTTTCGTCCGTAGTTTCGATCCAGCATTTATCAGCAAGTCCACATATTTGGTCTTTTGCGGCACAAGACATGACAATCAAACCGAGTGATTATTGTCGTTAGTAATTAAGAGGGCTTCGGCTGAAAAGGTCCAATGTTGGGCTTTCAGGAGCTGAATCCGTCGTGTATTCTGCAGCCTGGCTGCCAGAGCTCCCTACATATTGGCTTAGCTAGTTACCTAGTTAACTCATGGACAGAAAGGTAAATGGATACATTTACCAGCTGCGTAGTAATCTTTTCTCTAACTATTAGTCGAAATGGCTGGTAACTGTCCTGTTGTTTGACAAGGACTGTCTGCGGGAGGAGTGCGGCCCAGGAAAGATCTAGCTACCTAGCCTGGCACTGGGTAACTAGAGCTGGAGGATATTGAGGTGAAGATACCTATTGGCTTGAGACATGCACGAATGCCAGCGCCTTCTAACTACGCCATTGCTGTAGAAATGGTTATTATGCGCGGCGTAACTGAAGGCTGATGCAACCTGAAGACAAGATACGCTTTGGTTCTCCTTTAGCCGCATGTAACTGTACACGCTGGCAAGAATGTATGATAGCTGCATAAGTAAAAATAGCAGTAACCGAGCGCATAAAATAAACAACCAACAGACCAGTTAACTAGTTAAGTGGAGAAGCAAGTTGACTTGGAGGCGTTTTTGGCCCCAGTTGTTATATATAGATTCCAGACAGTGTATTATCCTCCACTTTGCCTCATTACCCCAGGAATAGCAAGGTGAGAGTCGATTATATTTTAGTTTACTTACATGGGTTTCTTGTTACCGTTATCGTTTTTGACTGTTGGTCTTGAGTCTTTTTCATGGTTGATACATGAATGTCATGCAGTGTTATTGTATTGTCTAGCAGGTAGTTAGAACCATCGCTTACACTTCCCATGCAACCCGTTTCCATAGTTAACCCTTAAAAATAAAAACGCTAAATGGAAACAATTGATAGAGTGATACATTTAAAAGTAAACACTAAAGTTTATAAATATATTGCTATATCAATGCTGTCATCAATCTGCACTGTCATACTGCGACGAAGGGTTATAAGCATGAAGCGTAACCTGTGCAGCACCAACAAACAAGCCTATGGTCGAATGACCAAGTATGAATCCGCGTATATTTGTACAAGAAAGGCTGAAACAGAAATGTTACAGGTTATTGAGGCGTGCGTAATAAAGTAGGAATGAAGAGTAGAATGAAAAAGAAAAGAACGAGTATGGTCAGGAATTAAATGCCCTCGGAGCATTTATTTACATGCCAGTCCTTGCGCAACCTTTTACATTTATGACATGATGATAGTGGTTGGGGGAATATAATAAAAAGGGTATATTTATAAGAGGTAAAGGAAGGCTAAGGAGTGCTTTGCGAGAGAACGACTGGAAGCATGTCGTATAATCTGTTCCCTTGGCTTATCCAAGAAAGAAAAGTTATCATTAAGGCATTAAGTCATTTCACGCGTAGCATCGTTATATTGGACCCAGTCACCAACGAACTGAGGAAGCAGGTGGAAAGGAAGAGAAAATTCACGGTATGAAAATGTCCCGATAGGCGCAGCCAAGAGGAACAATTCTACTGCTTCATCCAAGGGAACCGGGTGCCCGTCCAGCGAATCACTCCATAAGCTGGCCCATCATCGTTGAAACGGCAATTCAGCCCGCCATAGTTCTGACCTTTTTCTCTCCCCTCGGAGTCGCTGCCGGTCTCACCCCCAGCTGCAGCCGAAGCGGCAGCAGCGCTTCGTTTTCTCCGTTGCTCTCGTAATGTGGGACAGTTTTTTTCCTTGATAAAGCGGTAGTACTTGCACTGGATGCCCTGGAAACCAGTTCTCTGGCGGTTTGGAAATTGAGCGTTAAAGCATTCACGGACTTGTTTCCATTCCTGGCCTAGATCAACTCGATGGTACCAGATGAAGTACATCTCTTCCTCGTCGTACTTTGGTCGAGGTGGCCGACGGCGTTCTGGAACTGGTGCAGATGATGTTCCACTTGAGACAGAAGGGAATCGTTCTCTTCGATAAGGTGTTGGTGAGGAAGTGGGTGACACTGGGCCTTTGCCAACGTTGTTGCTATTGCCATTCACTGTACTGTGGTAGTGGTGATGGTGATGGTGATGAGTAAAATTATAGTTATCGGAAGTTGCTGAGGTAGGCTCGGGCCGTCCATCGTAGGAACCATAGCCCGTGTTTAGGTATTGGAGTGGGCGAAAGTGTGTTTGATTGTAGCCTTGGAAAGATGCATTTACAGGTGTTGAACACGCACTGCTGATGGTGGTTGATGATCCGCTGGAGTATCTTTCACGACGATCTGGATAGTCGATATATGGTGGCGGTTGTTTGCGTGTAGGATAAAAACAGTGGGATTCGCATGTTGAAGCACTCTCTGGGTTGAGTAGTGTGTCAATAGCGATGCGCTTTGATGACTCTGTGGGTGATTTTGGGGATGGTAATCCGTATCTTGTCGACTCCATCTTGAAGGGGGACCTGGTTTTCGCTCTTCCTCGTCTAGAGTGAAAGGCGAACTGAGTATGGTAGATTGTTTCGCACTGGTCAAGTGTGGAAGAAGAGGAATAAAGAGTAAGAGTGGAAGGGGGCGGGAGGGGCAAGTGTTATAGAAGAGATGTAACAAGTCTGAAGAGTAGGCAGTTGGTAAAAGTATCGATTGGGGGATTCCAATCAGGGGAATTTATGCAAATTCCAGGGCCACTCTTGGGAGCAGATCTGAATGGGGGGTATGCCTAATCACTTTTTGCGATAGACACCCGAGTGGTCGGCTATGCAACCTAAACGTGGGTTTCCGGGTCTTTTTTGTGAAATACAATCCTCTTAAAGGTGTAGTGTTATCCCTTTCCTGTTGTTGGGAGAGGAAACAGGCACCACAGCCACGTTGATGAGCCACTCTCGTGGTTGTTCGAATGCAAGGTATCGAATGCAAGGTATGTTTTGTGTAAAGCGTGCGCGAGGTGAAGGAGAGGAAGCGTTGGTTGCTCAAAGAAGATCTTCTGCGGCTTGCTAGAAGTTGGTAAAATGTCCCTCAAACGTGGAGCGGCGTATCTTTGTGTACTTCCCACTCCACCAAAAAGTTGTGCTAAACCAAAGGGGTTTGACAGCTGGGGAAGAAGAGAAAAAGGAAGATGTTGTAAGACTGCCTCCACTTTTCCCCTATTCTCTCTCCTGTTTTCGCTTGTTCTTCAGGGTCTTCTTCGTTCAAAAAGGATGATGTTCTTTGTTGTAGATAATTCCGAGGTGACCTCCCGATATATAACCTTTTTTTTGCTCTCTATTTATCCAGAAGTGACCCTGGGTCTTTGATCCGCCAGTTTGGTTTTGTAGTCACTTGCACCTCAAGCGCAGCTTTTGAAAAGTATATCTCGATGTTGAAGTATAAAGTGTGTAGAAAGAGAGTTTCCTGGGGGGGGGGTATAATGAGTCGAGCGAGGATCAGGAGTGGCCAGGAGAGAAAGGCCATATACTTATATGTGTAGAGTCGATCCCTGAGCCCAGGCACCGAAACGGGATGTCCGTAATAATAATTTCTTAGTGACCAACTGCAAAAAAAAAGTGGGACAAGACCTGCTCCGGTATTGTTTCTTCGTACTTATTACTTCTTCTGCTGCCTCCTGGCCTTCTTCTTGGGGTTTGGGCTTGGGCTAGGTTGTGAGCAGGCGGTACCAGTCTCCTGGGAATATCAAGGTAACCATGGGGCAGGGGGAGGCGGAGGGTAGAGATGCCTGGCGCGTAGGGGGGGCAAATGCTGGAAAAGAAAAAAAGAGAGAGAGAAATGGGTAGAGGAAAAAGAAAAGGCAGTCAAGTAAAAAAAGGGACGCGGCAAGAAACGTGGAGAGGGTGTACTTCGATAAGACGGTGAGTTGATGCAGGATGTACGTAAAAGCACAACAAGAACAGTTGCCAATGAGTTGTCGACAAGCACCAACCTCCAGCGTATATATACTGTAACTCAGCCGTCTAGTGTAGAAACTCGCCAGTTGGATTCTAGACCGGAGACCAGGGGTGCAGACGGAGGGACAAGAGGGGGGATAATGTGGGCAATGGAGACAGCGGGACGACTACTGAGTGGACAAGGGAACCGAGTCAGCGAGCCAAACAAGAGCGATGGCTCTTCTCTCATTTTTTTCTTCTTCTTTTCCTCTTCCTCTTCATCCTTTCTGGGAAAATTAACGCTTGAGCAGATATTATGGCAGTTGAAAAGTCACAGAGAAACAGCAGAGAGTCCAGAGATCCAGAAGCAGCAGCCTTGTCGGTACTCCGTATATAGTATGGATGGATTGGACCATGCATGCATGCATGCATAGACGCAGTTGAGTATTATTATTACAGGATCATGGCATATATCTGTGCATCCACAGAACAACCAAGCCCCTGGTCATGAAGTTCGATACTAGGCAGCAAGTGAGCAAGGTGGAGGAGCAAAAAAATGTGTTCGTAGAAGGGATCCCTCCCGAGAAGAGAGAGTTTGTACCGTCTGTAAAGAGCCAAAATGCACTCTATTAACTGCCGCGGCCAACTCCGTGTATCCGAACAAGTTGACGACTGTAGAAGACGGATCCAGTGTGGAATTATTGAAGAACATCACAAGCTTCTTAACCGGATTTCCCTTCATCTTCTATCCATCTTGCATGGGCATGTCGAGAGCGGCCAACCAACCTCCGCTCCCCCCTTCTTCTCAAGCTGCAAAAATGCAGACATGAGAAACATGATGAACTTGCGAGTTTCTGCTGCTCACCACCCTTGACAGGCGATCCACTGGCAACCTTTTTCACTTTCGATGAATGACTGTGGTTGGCTGAAAGCCGCGGCGGCGCAGGTTCATCGATATAAATTAAAATATAAAAAAAAGCCCCGAATGATTTTTTTGCCTTTTCTCTTTTAAGTTTTGATACTCAGTGTTATTTTCGATACAGCCTGTATTTGACGTATTGTAAAACTGGTAAAGTTACGGGCTACGATACGTAAAATACAGGAGCCAAGCTTGCTTCGTCTGCGAAATAAATAAAATGCGAGAGCGAACCTCGACAGTTCTCGTTGACCGGCGCCCTTGGATGCGTTTACGAAGCAAAACTTGTGAATGAACTAGCAAGCGAACTAGTTGGCTAGTTGGTTGGGAGTTCAACTATCCAGAAGCCGGATGGAAGCCCGCATCGACCTGCTTTGCCTTGAAAGACAGCGGGTCGGGAAAACGGCTGCTGGAAATAATACAGCCGCATATAACTACTCCGTACTTCCATGCATACCCTCTCCATCTCTACCTCTCATTAGAAATAAGTCATCGACTTCGGCAGGGATTTCTCGCATTTATGGACAAATCAGAGCCCAGAGAAAGACAGAAATGTTGGACTCTTCGCCATTCGGGTTATTGTTTTATTTTCTTTGCTTGCGAAGTGAATAAAAATAAAAACGAAACAAAAACCGATCTCGGAGACCTCCAAGCGAGCCTGACCTCTTCTTCTGATGAAAGGATTTAATCGTCTGACGATTTTCTCGAGCTTGGCTCCTACTCTTGAAAGGCAGTCCATGCCGGAGTTATACCATGGCCACAGATTTTCTGCGCCGTTATGCAGATTCCAGTGATGTTGGCTGCGGGGAACAATATCATTCGATGGCACCATCAATAGACCCCAGCGAGCAAGCAAGAAATCAAGAAGGCAACGGTACCTCATCTCGCTTCCTTACGTCTGTTCCTTTCTTTTTGGTACCTTCTTCTCTCCCCATGCCGGGCGAAACGGAAGGTTGACATGGGCTGCTTGCTGGTCTCCCATTGCTGCGGGTTGTCTAACCGAGTTGTACTGCCGTTACCTTCCCCCCATTTCCCACCCTTTTGGCAGGCCGCTTGTGGTCGTACTTGGGCGTGATTTGTGCAACGCCAGCAGGCTGTCCATCCTGGCACGAAATCTGGAGTGTGCATGAATGGATCAATGGACCGGTGTATCGGGGCGTCCCGTTCCCAGGCGGTGGCTGACTACACTAGTTGCAGGACTGCCTGGATTGGGAGCGCGTTTATGATTGCTTTGGACGTCATATACGATAATGCCTAGGTAGGCCTCTGCGAAGGCGGGTTGGGGGCCAAAACTGCGAAGTTCACAAACGGAGAACTCCGTGTGTCTCCATAATTCCTACTCTTTACTTATTCGACATATTTAAATAGGTGGATTTATCCCCTCCGTTTGAGACCTACAACGAGTAAATGATATTGAGCCGATTCTTCATTACCCGATGCTACGTCGAAATAATGACTCCATTTTAAATCACTCAAGTTCGTCCTTGTTCTTTTTTTCATTCATGCACGTATAGCACGTGTGCGCTGTAGTGCTTCACCCTTTCCGTTAAAAGCATTACACACGTTAGATGGAGTGTATCAATAACTATATCCTAAGGCTAACGTCAGTCAAGACATGTTTTAGTTACGACATTAAATTCATACACGCTCGGGCATTCTTAATTATCCAGCGTCTCCATAGCTTTAACCGTTTCAATAGTTAGTGAGCTGGTCGGCCCTCGCGTATTATTAGGTTGACAGCTTGGTATGGACGGGGCTCAACTGAAGATCCTGTTCTCTCCCTTTCTTTTCTTTCATCGTCCTCTCTCTCTCTCTCTCTCTCTCTTCTGTGTGTGCGGCTTCATCTTCTCACTCCGTGCCCTGTGGAGAATCGAGATCTTGATCTGTGGGGCTGACATGCGCAGGGCATGGGATGCACTCAGCACACCAAGGACCATACACACCACGTACATGACGAATACAGAGATTACTCCTACATACTCCGTACATTTACAAAAAAAATGTACGAAAGGTCACTGCAAAGGTGAAAATGAAAAAACCACCATGCAAGTTATGCCATTTTTGGGAGCGAGGGAGGGAGGGCCGTATGATCACGAAGCAATATGGATTTCCTTGAACTGAGGGATCCGAGCGAGCGTGGGAGAAGGCATGGCATGGAATCTGGCATCTGGCATAGGCCATCTCATGTCTGTTCTGCTCGTGCACATGTGCTGAAGCAGATGGAAGCTAACCTTGAATAATAACACGTCGATCATATGTTTTGGTCGATGGGGATAGAGATTAACTACCATAGAGTGTCCAAACGCCAGACATCGTGAGACAAGGAGCAAGCAAGATCGCTTTGTACGGGAGGGAAGAGAGCAAAGGTTAGTCAGTAAGACAAGCCCGAAGAAACCCGATCAATGGCGTATGAACCTAGGTGGATAGCATGGAAATAAAACAACTGGATAGATGAATGATATTCATGAGACAAGTGTTGGATTTTTCATATGTCTTGACCCTGCTCTCCCTTGAAGGGCCGAGGAGGGCCGTCAGATCACGCAAAAGGTGGTAGGCAATAATAAGAACTAGCCAGAGTGAAAAAAAAGAGTGCCGTGGTAATGTCTGGTCGATACATAACTGTATACTCAAACCACAGCGTCGGTGTTAGGGTTGTATTCACAACTCTTGCGAGTTGGTTGGGTTGATATTGAGATCGGGTTTACATCATAGGTAATCCCCATATAGTTGACTAACTAGTTCAATCGAGCTCACTCGCAAGGTCTCGTGAAGTCTAAGGGGAAAACAAGGCAACAAAAAGAAAGGTCGGAAAGATCGGATATTAGCAAAAAGGGGGGGACAAAAAAGCTCTTTGAAAAAAAGAGCCCCTGAAGAACCCAAGAAATCTAAAGTAGCTGAATATTATATGACTGGATGTAAAGTAAAAAAGAGGGAGGAAAAGAAAAAAGAGGAAACCAGGCGAGCCTGTATAGATGATATACATTTAGATACCTGGGGAAGAGCCTGGCAAAGAGGCGTCGATAAGGGTAGAATATGTACTGTAGTATGATATATTGTCTTGTAGTGGCATTTCTTCTATCGACCGAATGACCGTTCTTACCACTTTTTTATTTTTGTTTTTTGTTTTGACTTTCCTTAACAAAGAAACGAACCATCTGCTATATTCGGCAACCGGGTAAAGGCAGAGGCAAAAGAGGCCTTGACGAAATACGGCCACTGTCTTTGAATAATCCCCAAACCAGATAAGAAGAAAGCCAAGACCAGTGCTAAAGGAACTATTTAAGCTGAGAATCTGAGAATGTGGAGGGAGCGAGAGAGGACAAGGGGTCTTTCCAAAGAGGGTCTCCGATGGAGAAAAGCGATCTGATGAACCGAGCTCCTGACAAACCCACACCACCCGTCCGTCCAAAACAGGGCCAGGGGCGAGGAAAGGGAGGGACCGAGAGGGGAATAATAAGGCCCGGAGTATACGTACAGGAAGTGTATGTACCTCCGTACATGCTTTAATATGGACTAGTCTTGTCTTTCTGACATATTGCGATGTGAGCTGGGTGGGGTGAGGAGGGAAGAAAGCTATGGGAAGAGAGAAAGAGCAGGGGAGAAGCGGTCGTTAAAACGGAGAGGTGGATGCTGGGGGCACCACCCCCTAACCCCGAACCCCGAACAGGGGACAAGAGAGCAAAGCCAGGGAGAAGTAAGCCAGTCCTTAGCAGCGCCGTTAATGATGTCCCTGTGCGATGAACCTTCTCCGTTAAAACGGAGGAAACATGCCAAATGGAGAATCTTGTCTTAGGTATTCATATACCTAAATAGGGGAGTGTATGTATACACGACCCTTCCGAGGATGTGATGAAGAAATGGCTTCCGAGATAATCTGCGAACTGAAGAAATCCTCTCTCGTATCGATGCAGGAGATGAAGAATCTTATCCGCCTGACGAAATGAAGAAGGCGAGCGAGAGAAAGAAAAAGGAAAGAAAGAAGAAAAAAGAGCAGAGAGTCGAGCAGCAGCAGGCGAAGGAATGGGACGAGAAATCTCGGGGAGATGAGGCAGGCGAAAAAACCAACATTGAATGAAGTCGGAAAAAGGCCCATGATTGGACATATGGCCCTTGATGGAGCTTGACCAGCCTGAACCGTTGCCTTGGGACCTGCCAGCCAGTCAGAGAAGATGCAAATATGCAAGAGAAAGGAGACTACTGCAAGACGCTTAAATGGAGGGGATGATGCGTGTGTGCGAGAGAGCGCCCATCCCTGGCTGTCGCGCTGTATAGGGTCGTTATACGTACGTATCGTGCAAAATACGCAGGGTCAACCGCGCGATTAGCCCTGAAGAAATGGCTCATCCTCCAACTTGTTTTCTTTTTCTCACTCCCTTTCTTTCCTTTTTTCTTCCTTGCTTCCTCTCGTCCCCCTCGTATAGAGATGGTCTCGTACGACGATGTACTGGTAAATAATATTCCGTGAAGAACGTCTTCCTGCGCCTGCCTGCGCCTGCTTGTACCAGAATGCATCGTACGAGTTGTAGGCAAGGAATGTGCAGGTAATCCTCGTCTTGGTTTGGGTTTCCAGGGCCAGTGTCCCAGTTGTTCCATTCCACCGGCGAGTTTCCGGCCCATCATCAACTCATCCACTCATCATCAGCCTGGTGCGCGTGCATGTCTATTCAAAAATGATGTATGAAGAACTCCGTAGTAGCAAAGAAAGAGTCGTCTGTAAGAATATATTACCGATTACTAATGCTAATAATACAGATACAGATACAGGTACAGGTACAGGAGCAAAAGTGGTGTGATACAGCTGTAATACGATTACGAAGCGTCTCACTCTATTATCCGCATTCATCTTAAGTCTCCAGCAGCGAAAAAAAAAAAGGAACGAAAAAGGAAAAAACAACGTCAAAGGTCAACCTCAACTTCAACATCCATCGTGCTGGGTCGGCCCAGCATCATTATTGCAAGTAAGTTCATGCTAACTCGGCGTCCAGCGAGCCACGATTTACCGATGCGAGGTTTCTGAGAATCGACTCAAGTCTGACACAAAAATAAAGGCCAGCGATCATGGGCAGGGGGACCGTGTTGTATTGTCACCCCAGCAGGCAGCAAGAGAACGGACTCCGTCGTCCGTTGACTGCCGGTGACATCGCAGAGACTCAAGCATCCCGGCCGCCCTGGATCTCCAATCTCACTGGGGGGAGAGAGCAAACACTTAAGCTTGATTCGTCATTGGCCATGGTAAGGGAGCATCTCACCGTCCAAGCCCGCCAGCAAACGTCTTCGAAAAAATAAACGGACCATATCTCGCAGCGCATGAAGGTCATGTGACTCGCATCCAGCCGGCTGATTGGCCTGATGCAGTGGCTTTTGGGCATGAATCTCGGCGGCTGTTAGCCTGCTGCCGCCGCCGCTGCTGCTGCTCGACTTTCTTTTCGTGTCATGGCCATCTCCCTTAACCCGGCCGGGGTTGGAGGCAGACGTGGATGTTGCACCAGTTTATGCAACTATTAGTCGGGCCAAGATGTGAAAACTGGAGAAATCCACCGCCCTTCCGAGGAGGTCTGCGTCCTTGACGTACGGGATTTGTATCAGTGCGATTTCTTCCTTCGTTTTCTTTTCTTCTTCCTCTTTTTTTATCTCCCTTCAGAAAGACGTGAGTTGACCACAGGGCGGAGTGGTTGTGGGTTTTACGCCTCCACATCGCAAGTCTAACTGTGGATCTATCGGCGGATACCTTATCATCAACCCGCGGCCAGAAGTTCAAGGTTGAGCGCTAATTGGGTTTCGATGGGGCTCCTTTCTCGATTTCTTTTCCCCTTTTAGTACCCTCCACTGTCTGTGCTGGCCAGCTAACAGACACTACTGGGCTGCCTTTCGTATCCATTATTGTTGCAGAATCTCGAAAACACCCCGTCCTATTCATTCATTTCGCATGAATTTACAGAAGAGCAAGCCAGAAAAAGCCAACAGGTGTTTACACTTTACCTAGACGCTCGAACAAATTAGGTAACCCTGTCTCCTGCTTGGATGTGCCTGGACATGCTGCTGCGCCGCAAGAAATATGCCTTAACCATAATCGAAGTGGTTGATTAAGTGCACCATTTCTTAGTTTCGTCAAGGATAAACTTCGGCTTACTTAACTAGTTGGCCGTCTGAACATTCCCCGGGGAAACGAAAACGACCTTTGATGAATATGTTTGAGATATGAGATAAAGCGATGTCGACATTGTTCATGAAGGGCGTGAGAGAGAGAGTAGACTGAATATTGCGCTATAGTCCGAATCGAAGGGAAAAAGATCACCTAAGTGCGGAAAAGAGCAAGACACCCAGGTTCACCCAGGTTCATCCAAGCAACAACTACTCAATGCCATATTAGCAGTTCCTTGCCTTTAGTGAGAAGCTGAAGAAGGTCGTCACTCAACCATACCTAATTTGCACTCTCTCCGTCTTTCTCTCCCACCAGCTGTCTTGCGGAACCCTTCTCTTTTCTCGGAATCCCTGCAGGTTGGCCTGGTCTTGCTGGCCGCGTAACGACTTATGCTATTATTATCCTCCTCCTCCGGCGCCCCTCTGATTCTTCACCTTGCCCTTTTGTTTTATTTTCAACAGGAAAATAAAATGCAGGTTCTAATAATAATGTCTAGAACAACAAAAAAGCAACTAACGGGGCATTCGGTGATCCAGTTTAGGATCAACGGCTCGGGATGAACGCTCATCAAGCTGCCCGCCTGCCGCGCCTGTTATGCACAGACTGGAGTTTCGTATGGAGTACACATACAAAGTTACACCAGAAACCGCCCTAGAATGGGACTGACAGATACTTGATTACTGATTCTCTGGCAACCTCAAGAGCCAAGCAGCAACCCCCAAAAGAAAAAAAGGGGGAGGGAGGGAGGGGGTTTCGTGTCGCATGTTAGTCTACAGAGTACTTCTGCGGATATTATGGCTGGGTCTATTTGGACCATAAACCTGCCAACATTCAGTACGCAGAGGGGACTCTACTTTTCTTTCTCGTTTTTCAGTGCATGAGCCTATGAAATCTATTGAAATGGGTGCGCCAGCTGATCAGCCTGTCTATGCGGGTTGACGCAGTTCCCGTCGAGATTCGAAGATGATTTGCCCTCCAGTTATCCTAGGTAGCCCACGGCCGTTCCAGCCAGTTTGAATGACGAGCTAGGCAGTTTCCTGCAATAGGTCCACATAACCGCTTAGGTTATATCAGTCTGTTGCAACTCGTGGAAATCTACGCTTTTCTCACATGCCTGCGGATATCCCCTGCTATTCAGCCCCTGCTCTGAACCAATGAAGGTCCAAAAGCTGTGCTGCACTGCGAAGGTCTGAAATCGCTGATCTCAAGGAACTGTTCCGCGGGTTTCGATCCCTCGTCATGACCTTCTGGCTTGTATCTTTCTCGCTTGACCTTGTCAGTTGTGGGCTGATTCCCTGCCCTGCACATTGCATTCTACCTATCAGGACCAGAATTTTTTAAACAGCAGCACGGTATTCTTGCATACGTCGGCGACTCTTGAAACTCTATTTCAGGGTCCAAACAGCTTGATCCTCGTTTCTGTCGACTTGCTCCTCCCTGTGGTCAGATTCAATATTTCACCACGTACGGAGGCTATTATTCCGCCCCTCCCTTTTATACATCGAGGCCACTCAACAGATATTTTGTTCATATTGTACTAGTTATCACATTCGTAAAGGGAGTGACATGCTTGAAAACTTCCTCACTTTGGGCTTCCCAGATGCAATCATTCATCCCAGGGTATCAGATATCGGATACGTTACTTCGCCGTGGAAACGGCTGTCATTTAGCTTGAAAGACTCATTTGGATTGGCTGTTTATCCCTACCTTTTACCCCTGCCAGCCGATACCGATTGCTACCTCGGGCGCATAGAAAATACTACCTTCCCAAGGGGAGGAGGCTCTTCTTCCCTTTACATGAGATTTCTTTAGTACTCGGGAGAATGGGTCCCATGGGGCTGATACTCACTGCAAGGCTGCCCTACCTTTACCCTTCATTATCCCGTCCGCTCACCGTTTCGTGAGTGCTGTGGGTAGATTTCGTCCAACTAGTGGCCTGCTGAAAATAATTGAGGAAGAACGTTGTTGCATCTTGAGGCCCCGCTTCGTTCCCTTCGCCCCTTCAAGGGTTCCCTCCTCGTTGGCCTTGAAGAACTCCATCTGATAGGCAGAGGCGGCCAGGCCTAGGGAGTGCATATTGCGGTCGCGGCGTACTGTATTACTACATGGGGGATGGGGAAGGGTTGTTATTAGTAGATGGCCGGCGACTCCGAGCTCACTGGGCGGTCTACACCATTCGACAACAGGATAGCAGAAGCAACCAGTTCACGGAGGATTTTCACATGGACTTAAAAACAGTTTGCATGTTGCATCGCGTTTAATAAAACCAAGTTGCGATACAGTTCAACTGGAATATCATGCAAAGAAGAAAAGAAAACGGTCAGCCGGAATTAAACCTCGTTTTCCCCTTTACATGTACAACCACACATATACATACAACCTCGTTCCACGCGCCAGCCTTGCCTTTGAAGGCATCATCCACACACATTTACGCACGCACTTGTACATGAATCCAAGCGCCAGTTATCATTGCGGCCCAATCCCCGGCCTCATCCATGTGCGCCTCACCCATGCAAGCTAATCTCAGCCCCAGGGCATTCCACGCATGACATGGGAAGCGTGAAACATGCGGTGCTGCTTGGCTGCTCCCTCTCTCCCTTCGCGTCTCGATGCATCAGCTTTCTTTTTTTGCATAAAGTCGATCATTGATTCTTCATGCCATTGTTTTAGGCTTTTGCTACGCCGCTTAACGCCATCATATCGCCCACTACTATCCCTCTCCTGGACGGGAGCTATGCCACGTATTAATATGGTGGATGTGGAGGGTCCTGAGCTACAGTTTCTCGATATAGAAATTCACATTGATATTGACAAGAATCAACACATACATCGACCCAGCCATGGAACCAACTGCCCTGTTGGTACGCACCAAAATAGGGCCATGCATTGCCATTCCGGCTGGCCGAATTAGATCAATCTCCAGAAGTTACCTGTCTCAAGGTTAAGATACAGCTGCATATTACTCCTTACATACCTGGGTACGCATCTCCCCTAGCCATTACCAGACGCAGCGCGGGATTTCCACAAATGAGAAAGCCGAGATATCTCCTATTTACCTTGCCTGTGGTATCTCTCCATCCCTTGCTTCGTGGTTCCTTTTCTTTTGCCTCAGCTGCTGTTGCTACTGCTCTAGATGATCATGGTTGACATCTAAACCGTTTCAAAGAGTCTGTGATTCCGGCGCTTAATTAGTTAACTGATTTGGTGACGATGGAATATTTCTGTCTCTGACATTTTGCCGTTTCATCCATTTCGACTCGAGAAAGTGACCTGTTAATCAACATTTCTTCTGGTTTTCTTCAAACTAACTATATGTGCAGCGCCGCCGCGGGGAAACATATTGGCGTCTCCTAACGGCTCGCTTCAGAAGCTGATCTTCCAAGACTGAGAGCGGGCGACCTATGCATATCGATTCATTACGACTGCATGGGGGAAAAGAAAAGGTAGATGGGGATGAATGGGGAGATAAGCCGAGGACATGGTTGATATATGTAGGTGAACCCCAAGTATACGGGACCTCCATAACGCAGAGGCAGTTTGGCAGAGTAATTCCCATTATCCTGTTTCTATCAAACGCTTTCGAAGGGCAATCATTGACCTCGAAATACACGCGAAGGCAGGGTAACATTTTGATACCTTGACTTGTTGGATTTTGACTGGCACAGGATTGATCTCGGCCAGCGATAGTATGGTTTTATATACACCACTTCTCTGCCTGCATCTGGAGCCCTGCAATCAATCAATCAGATTCAATCCACCAAAAGACGTTCTCGTGCTGGTTTTCCTCCCTTTCTTTTTCCTTTTTATTTTCCTCTCTTTTATGCAATTTACTTACCGGCAAAATACGCACCACCCCGGTATGTTCGGCCTGGGGGCGCGGATTCAGCTCTGGAATCCCTGAAGCACGTAACTAAGACATCAGCGAACGCCGATTGTGAAGCCAATGAGCAAACAGATCAAACTCGAAAAGACCAGATACCAACCTAGAAAGGAAATTGGATATTGGAACTGCATGATCAGGGATATGACAATATATATCTATATACGATGCATGGTTTGGTTACTTACCTTCATACATCCAATAATGAACGGGAAAGATAGTACCGAGAGAGGGACACTTTCACTCTGTTACTTACCAATACACCATTAGAGCATTATGTGGGCGAGTTATATGTGATGGATTGAGTGGTACAGGACTGCAACGCCATGCGGAAGAATGAGGGAAATACTTTGACGTTCATTTGAGCGGATGTAACTAGCCTATTCCTTTGGGATTTGACTATCTACAGTTTTGAGCCCTGCAGCCGTGGCTTTGACCTTCTGATAACGAGGTAAAAGACAAAAAAAAGAAGAAGCAGGATCCCTGAAAGTAGACGTTCTGTCCTAATATGTAGTCATTTGTAGTCACTGCGTCCTCCTGGGAAAAGAATTTCATTGAAGTTGATCCTGGCAAACACAAAAGGGCACGAAGGTGCGAGGAAGAGACAGGTGTAGATGCAGGCATCTAGTCCCAGTGGGTGCCAGTGGCAAGTTCGCATCTAGTAAGAGTTGGAAACAGGTTATGTTAGACCACCATCCATGATGATGTAGGGGGAACTAACGGTTCGACTTACGGGTCAGAGCCGAACTGAACATTGGCCTGGTCCCAATCGTCCATGCGGATAAGGCATGAGCGGAAGCGGACAGCAGAATCGATGGTGCAGAATCTGAAGACGACAGTGCGGATTTTCTAGTACAGAAGATAGGTTAATATCGTGTCTCTGGATGTATATGTTCGGAGTGTGCTAAATCACTTACAACTGAAGCTTCATAGGAGTCGATAATCTTCTCGAGCTGCCACTTCTTAGCATCGATGAGCTCGACCAACTCACCAATACTGACGCTGAGAGGAGCCCCGATGGCACGAACAACCCGAGTTGCTCCGATATCCAAACATTCGGCAAGACGAGAGCTAACGATGTCTACTTCCTTGCCAATGTCCACGAAGACGGTTCCACGGCTGCCGTTATACTCGAAGTCAATACCGTTAGGGTACTTGTCGTAGAACGCCTTGCAGTCAGCCGCGGCACAGAAGCGGATTTCGGCAGACTGGCTGGCAGGGTGAACGGAAACAGACTCGATCTTGCCTCCATGGACGAGAGCAAGAACACGAGAATGGCTACGGAGGGAGGCTGGGATGTTGGTCAGGATGATACGGCGTGGTGCGGCGTCTGAGGACAAACATGTTAGTGGATAAACACATATGCTAGGAGACGTGTTTACATTGACTTATATTGACTTACTGCTGGCAGTACGCGGAGCTGGAGTGCCCCAGGTCTTAAAAGTGACCAAATGCTCACGGTCTTCCTCTTTAGGGGAAAAAGCTTGTTCAGTGGCATTTTCAGCAATCTTTTCAGCAGCCTCTTCGGCGACGTCTTCAGTGATATCTCCGGTGATCTCTTCAGTGGCCTCCTTAGTGGCCTCTTTTGGGCCTTCTTCAGGAGCTTCTTCAGGAGTAACAACACCATTCTCCTCAGCTAGTAGGCATTTGGCCTCCTCAACAACAGGCTCAGGCTCCTTAGCAGGAATGATATCAGGGTTACCGTTCTCCTTGTCTTCTAGAGAGTAAAACGCGTTAGCTATGATGTAAGATGACATGTACAGGTATCAGCTTACCTTCGACGAGACCAGACTTGGTGACGCGACCCTGACCAGCCTTCATCACGTTGCCACCACGACGAATCTTCTCGAGGGCTCCCATGAAGGCCTCGGTGTCGTCGAAATTGATAGCAGATCCGGTCTTCTTCTCCATCTTTGGCTTGCTGGCGCTGGTGTTTGGTTTCTGGTTCTTGGTCTTGTTCTTTAAGGGAGTCTTCTAGGAGCAGGTTAATAAGGCTCTTCTGGATAGGGGGAAAGGAAGCAGGGCAGAATAAGATATTAAGGAGTAATAGAAGGAGATATGGTAGCAGTAGCTCACCTGCTGTTTGGTTTCCCCTTTGGTGTCCTTGGATTTCTTGTTCTCCTTGTTGCTCTTTGGTGACTTGTTTTTGTCTTGGTCAGGCTGAGCCAGAGAGCTGACATGGTTATCAGTAGCCCAGATGCTCTTCTCCAGGCCGCCACTTCTTTCACTGATCTGGTTGAAGGTCTCGAAAATCACCCTTCCTACCTTCACAGCTTCGTTGATTCTATCACCCTCATCATGATACTCCTGGATTCTCTTGTTTGCTCTGGTGAGGAGAGAGTCCTTAGAGTCACCGCCCGCCATGTTGATGAGTTCAGATTATCTCAAGATACAGGGATACTAGGTTGATGACGAAAGATGGAAGTCAAGATGCTAAAGAAGATGCTGATCGTGAAAATAAAGAAGAGGAAGAGGAAGAAGAAAACAGGATGAGAAAAGATATAGGACCGAAAGAGGGATACGACTAAGCGGCTGGGAGGTGTTGCAGGTTAGGCGGCGGATAAGGGGTGAATGCAGCAGAAGAGGACAGGAGAAATGCCATGAGAGACAGCGAGGAAGAAGGCTTTATAGCCCGTGGGAAGTTCCGTCTAGAGAAGCAGCAGTGAATGCAGAGTCAAAGGGAAGTTCCGTGTGAAGGGCTGGCAGAAGTGAAGGGAGGGCGGAAGACATGGCAGGATAATATCCATATATAGGGGGATGGATATCGGAAGATACATGGCTAAGAGCTTCATATTTACAAGGAGAAATATGAAGAGAGAGAGAGAGAGAGAGAGAGAGAGAGAGGGAAAGATAGGTATATCATTAATGGTATCATTATATTCTTTTTATTACATGGTAACAAGTGGTTGAAATGGACGTTTTGACCAACCTCCAACTCCACGCTGATATATAGAAATATAGGACAGGAAGAGAAAATAGAGCATCAAAACGAGTCCGGGGAGATGAGTTCCCATGTCTTCTCACCCGGTTGAGGATGCGGCTTCATGACCTGGAGCGCCCGGTTGCCGCAGAAGCCACCGGTGCCGGCGGTGCGGTTGACGGTTTGATAGGCGCCTTCGCCCTTTTCATCCTCTACCCAGGCACGCTCCTCGATGAGATCGCCTGATTTCTCAGTCCGGCGAGGGTTGTGCCACGGCATACCTACCAGGCGGTTGATGAGGTCGTGCGGTATGGAAAAGAGCCGCTCGAACCGCCGGGTGACGCCTAACCAGGAGAGAGTAAAGGGGGAGTAGGCAACACGGATATACGGGTTCACGTATATCCCTGTATCAGCGGTGGGTTCTCCAGTAGCAGAGGGCGGGTTTTGGATATCAGCGTGTATAAGACAACACTCGGATGCTTCCCAGAGGAGATCTGGCTCAGCACGGAACCAGCTTGTGCTGTGCTGCTGGAAATACTTTGCATCAAAGGCAACCATGCCTCCCCAGCAGCTGCGGACGCGGACAGCATCGCTTTGACTGAGCACGTCTCGTCTACTCTGTCCGTTTCCTATGCTGGTGAACCAGGGGAAGAATGGTAGTCCCATAGAGAACCCTTCCAGATCACGCGAGGCAAAGGTATCGTAGAACTTGAACGGATTGATAAAGTCGACTGCACAGGCAGCCCGGTACTGGGTAGCACCGCTCTTCTCGTCCACGTTGGTCGAGAGGAGCAACTGGAGGGCATCGATGGGGTCAAAGAAGACGTCGTTCACGTAGAGGATCTTGTCAAACCTGGGCATACCGGGCTGACTGATTGGCCGTAGAGCACGATTGCGCACCTCGGCCAGGAATGAGATGCGTTTAAGTCTCCTGGATCCGTCTGGCAGCGTGATGTGCAGCAGTCCATCCGTATCGAGATGCTCCTCCGTGACCATGGAGTGGTTACACGGAGTCTTATCTGCCATCCTCTGCAACGCATTCCGAGCCTTGTCGTTCATGTCATTCTCATAGATACTGAGATACGAATTCCCCGGCCCCAGCAGATCTATCAGCTGCAGAATACTCGTGCTCCATTGGCTCTGTGCCAGACTGCCGTCCGGGTCATATATGTTCGCAGTGATAAAGATCTTCTCGTTGCGCGGGTTGCCTCGTCCGGGGGCATCGCTGCCGACTGCAAGACGTCTCAGCTCGTTGTAGTGAGTCGGCCGGTGGGTGTAGGACGGCCAAAATATCGCTACCACGGCTACCAGACAGAGACCGGCCGTCACCAACCATCGCAGGGTCCTATATGTGCCTGACGGTGACAGCCTGGGGGCGGGCTTGCTGTGTCGCCTGGCAAATTTCCGGCGCCATCGTGGGGGCAGCAGCCGCAGTATTCGAGACGACCAGCCCGTCGAGCCATTCAACAGGTAGCTGTAGCTGTATCTTGACCCACGTCTTCGCTGGTGGCCGCTGAGTGCGCTGTTGAGCTCGCCGTCGCCGTCGCCGTAGCCGTCGTAGTCGCGGTCAAAGTCTTCGAGGATGAAGGCGTCGCTGTCGCAGGAGCTGCGGGAGCCAGACATGCCAGTCAAGGGGCCAATGGCCGTCAGACAACGTTCTTGTGGTTCTTCTTATCCTTCGTCTTCGCTCTTCTTATCTGTCTTCTTCATCTATTAGGCTCTCTTGGGCAGAAGATGCGGTCTGTCAAGGGAAGACGAAGATGGTATGGTGACGGCGGCTGATCACCGTTGCATCAGTCGAGTCGTAGGATTTACAAATAGTACGCGAATAGTAGACGACAAGCTCAGCCTCAGGACGCAGCTTAAAAAAAAAAAAAAAAAAAAAAAAAAAAGCCCATTGAAGGATCATGATCTCTTCTCTTCTCCTTCTGCTCTCATGGATGCTTCTATGGAATGTCGTACATGCGTAACAGCCGTGTACTGCAGAGTAAATCGGATGCCACTCCATCTCCGTCGCCTTGCCGTATGGCATATAAACTCAACGCCGGCGACTGGCTCTGCCTGTAGCTACCTGGGGCAGTGATTATTTTAAGCCCAGCAATGAGGTCAACCACGATCATCGACCCTAAATATATTCCTGGCGTAAAAAGCAACGAACTGGTTGCACAGCAGCATCCAAGCCATCCTGGCCACTTGGCGCATCCGAAGGCGTTCAACGACTTCAACCTCACGACATCATCTGTGATCGTAGCTTAACCTGACTCCTCTTCACTTCGCCGCCCGGAGGCTGGGAGACAAGCAGACAGACAGACAGAGCGCCAGCCTTGGTGCGACGGGAGGAGCTGCAAGTGCCACGGATCCGGGGAAGACATGACCAGGTTTCCCAAGCTTTGAAGGATTCTGTTAATGAAAGAGCCCCCAGGGATAAAAATACACTCAGCCTGGTTGGCCGGGCATCACCAGTACCCGCACCAGCATGACTGACTGACTGACTGATGAACATCCGGGACGGACAAGATGGATGATGTCCTTGTGGCTCTCCCCCCCAAGGTCTAAGCATCCCGTCCGCCACCTGGAAAGCCCGAGAGCTCGCGTGGCCCGTCCAGGCGAGAGAATGGCGAATGATGACCGTCATGATGAGGCCAACAAAACTGTCATCCTGTCGCATCTCCTGCCGCATCTCCCACCTGTCTCTTGCATCCCCGATTGAACTCTCTCCCTTGGCGAAACAGGCCGGGCCCCGCGGCGTCCGCCATCGCCCTGCTTCCTGCTTTCGTGGTTGCCGGTTGCCTGCCAAGTGGGCTCGTTTGCTGCTCTCTGAACTTCTGGCTCGGAGGCCTCGCGCATCGTTTCACCGTTGGTGAATTGTAACTATACGAGTTCTTGATCTTGGTCAGTTCCAGACAGAGTCAAAGCAAGCAGAGAGACGTGAGTCTTCGTTTACTCACGTACTGCGTATATAATAGACGCCAAGTTGCTGCCTGCTGCGTCCGACTGGGCGTTTATTGGCATTTCTTTTCTTCTGCCGCTGAAATTGCCTGCAGAAGTTTCAGCTTCTCTTTCTTTTTATTTATTTATATCAGAGCCGCGCTCGTTGATGAAGCCGGCGTCTGGTCCATCCTTCGCGTTGTTGTTGTTGTTATAATTGTTGTTGGTGTTGTTATCAAGATATTGACGCTTTCACTCTTATAACTAGCGACGTCCAACGCCCAACACAGAGAGAAAGCGAGTCGCCGCGCCCATGGCTGAGGAGCCAAAGCCCGTCATGCCAGCCCTGCGGAACGGCGAAGCTGAATCGCTGGGCGACGAGGCCCCTAAGAAGCGGACGGACGGCATTGTTGACGTCCCAGACGCAGAGAAGCAGAAAGACGCTCCCGAACAAGGGTTCGGTGCCTACGTGGTAAATATCTTCTCTCTCCAGATATAACCACTAGTTATATATACCTGTGTTAGCATTGGCTAAATCGTGTTTGTTTGCCGTTTTATATAGAAATTATGGGCTTGGTGTGAGCCGATTGATGTATTCCTTCGCATCTGCGGCTTCTTCGCTGCCATTGCATCTGGCACTGTAAGTCTTCCATTCCTATAATATAGATAGCCATCAAGGACACTGGCTAACCTGGCCATAGGCTCTGCCTCTTATGACCATCATCTTTGGCAAGTTCGTGGATGTCTTCAATGATTTTGGGGTTGGCAAAATCTCCGGGGAGGAATTTAGGAGCGAGATATCAAAGAATGCGTGAGTAGATTGCTTGTATGTATGATTATATCCAAAGACCGTATTAATATATCTTAACAGGCTCTGGTTTGTTTATCTCTTCGTGGGCAAATTTTTGGTGAGTATCCTCTTCCTCTCAAGGCTCGTATCAAGGGTACTGCTGACGTCCGCTAGCTCGTCTACATTCACACCATATGCTTCAACATCACGGCCATAAGAAGCGTCCGGAAGCTGCGTCTGGAGTATATCCGTGCCATTCTCCGCCAGGAGATGGCCTACTTTGATACCTATACGCCAGGCTCTGTTGCAACTCGCATTTCGAACAATGCAAATCTTATCCAGACCGGCATGTCTGAGAAAGTAGGCACCTGCTGCCAGGGCGTTGCCATGCTGATCGCATCCTTTATTGTTGCATTTACTCAAAGCTGGAGGTTGACACTTCCCGTGGCCACCTCGATTCCCACTGCCGTCACGCTGGTTGGCATCACTGTTGCCCTGGACGCTAAGCTTGAAGCAAAGATACTCGACATCTACTCCAAGGCCGGAGGCCTCGTTGAAGAAACACTAGGCAGCATCCGCGTTGTCGTTGCCTTTGGTGCCGGAGACCGCTTGAGTAAGAAGTATGATAACCACCTCGAGGCTGCCAAAGGGTTCGGTGTCAAGAAGGGCCCGGTCCTAGGTATACAGTACAGCTCGGAGTTCTTCGTCATGTACTGTGCCTATGCTTTGGCTTTCTGGTATGGTATCAAGCTCTTGCTCCAGGGGAAAATCGGAAGCGGCGGAGAAATTCTCACGTATGTCACCTCGTACATATTTGTTTCTTCACGTTGTGATACTAATGATGTCATAGGGTCTTATTCTCTATTGTCATCGGTACTTCTTCTCTCACTATGATTGCACCTACTCTAGGAGAATTTACCAAAGCCGGTGCTGCCGCCAACGATGTTCTCAACATGATAAATAGGGTACCCGAAATCGACTCACTGAGCACCGAGGGTCAAAAGCCTAGCAGTGTTATTGGTGACCTGGAAGTCTCCAACGCAGTTTTCTCCTATCCTGCCCGACCTTCCATCAAGGTATTAGACGGAGTCAACTTGAAGATACCCGCTCGTAAGGTCACTGCTCTCGTCGGAGCCAGCGGCAGTGGCAAGAGCACAATCATTGGACTTCTTGAGAGGTGGTATGACCCCGCTAGTGGTTCCATCACCTTAGACGGTATAGATATCAAGGACCTGAATGTTGGATGGCTTAGAAGCCAGATTGGACTTGTTCAACAGGTATGTAAACCTCTATTATCCACCAAATTACGACAACAGTTAACGTTCTTTCAGGAGCCTGTATTATTCAACGACACTATCTACACTAATGTGCTTTATGGACTGCCACCTGATGAAATTGCCCGGATGGATGAGGAAAAGAAAAGAGAACTTGTTAGACAAGCCTGCATTGAGTCTAACGCAGATGGCTTCATTCAAGGATTTCCCAAAGGTTACGATACCGTTGTCGGCGAAAGAGGCAGTCTTCTCAGTGGTGGCCAACGCCAAAGAGTCGCCATTGCTCGTAGTATCATCTCTAACCCACCCGTCCTGTTGCTAGACGAAGCCACTTCCGCTTTGGATCCCACTGCCGAATCTATTGTCCAAGCTGCCCTCGACAGAGTCTCCCAGACCAGAACCACAGTGCTCATTGCCCACAAACTGTCGACTGTGAAGAAGGCAGATAACATCGTTGTCATGAACAAGGGTCAAGTCATCGAACAGGGAACTCATGAGTCGCTCCTGGATGCCAAGGGGCAGTACTGGAGTCTAGTGAATGCTCAATCCCTCTCACTTGCAACTGACGATTCTTCGTCTGAGACTGATAGGGAGCCTGATGAACAACCAACTGAGGTCCTGGAAAAACATACAACAACCAAATCGACTCACAGCAACGTCCCTCACGAAGTTGCCGAAAAGTCGGAGGATGTGTCTCGAAAAATCTCTCTATTCAAATGCCTCTTGATTATCTTCTATGAACAACGGCGCCATTTGCTATTCTTCTTCCTAGGAGGCCTTGCTTCCATTGTTGGTGGTGGCGCATTCCCTGCCCAGGCCATCCTTTTCTCCAGAATTGTGACAACATTCCAACTGCCCAGAGATCAGTGGCAAGAGAAAGGAGATTTCTGGGCCTTGATGTTCTTCATCCTTGCACTTTGCATCCTATTGACTTATGCATCTATCGGGTTCTTCTTGACAGTCGCCGCCTTCCGGTCGTCGAAGTTCTACCGTAGCGAGTACTTCAAGGCCATGATCTCGCAAGATATCGCATACTTCGACAAACCGGATAACTCCTCTGGTAGCCTTACTGCGCGCCTATCAACCGACCCTCAAAACCTTCAGGATCTTTTATCGTCCAACATTGGTCTCATCCTAATTGTTATCGTCAGTCTTCTGTCCGTTACCATTCTAGCCCTCGTCACTGGCTGGCGATTAGCATTGGTTTCCCTCTTCGGATGTCTCCCGCCTCTCTTCCTGGCTGGCTTCATCCGCATGAGGATGGAGATGCAGGCCCAGGATAAGAACGCAAAACTGTACTTGGAGAGTGCCCGGTTTGCCTCTGAGGCGGTGAACTCCATTCGAACTGTTTCGTCCCTCACTTTAGAGTCCACTGTATACAACAATTATGGTGACAGGCTGAAAGGACCAGTAGCAAGGTCGCTCAAGTACACTGCCATTGCGATGATTTTCTTCGGATTCTCAGATAGTATCGACACCGCCGGTAAGTCTCTCCTATTCATCTCCAAATACACTCTCAAGTCTCGTTACCCACTAACTCCCCCTTTATAGCTATGGCACTGGCGTTCTGGTATGGTGGAAGGTTGATGTCATTCGGCGAATACGACGCGCAGCAGTTTTTCGTCATTTTCATTGCCGTTATATTTGGCGGACAAGCAGCCGGAATCATTTTCGGCTTCACAATGAGTAAGCTTTATTCCTGTGAAACTATTTGAAGATGGTAACTAAACCTGCTTATTTAGACACTACGAAAGCCCATGCTGCTGCAAATCATATCATACATCTTCGAGGGCAGGTCGCCCCAATCAATGGCTCTACTGGCGAAGAGCCTGCATCCATAGAGGATTCCGACGTGGCAGTGGAATTCAGAAACGTATCATTTAGCTATCCTACTCGTCCGGATCAACCCGTGCTTCGCAAAATCAGCTTGAAAATCCGCCACGGCCAGAATATCGGTCTTGTAGGGCCATCTGGATGTGGAAAGACAACCATGATTGCCCTCCTAGAGCGTTTCTACGATGTTACCTCCGGAGATATCTTAATCAACGGAAAACCACTGACTGATATTGATGTGACCAAATATCGTGAAACCGCCAGTCTGGTGTCCCAAGAAACAACTCTGTACCAAGGCACAATTCGCGAAAACATCCTTCTCGGCGTTACCCGTGACGTTCCTGACGAGGAGATACACCAAGCCTGCAAGAACGCCAATATTCATGACTTCATAATTTCACTGCCGGAAGGCTACAATACCGAAGCCGGATCCCGGGGCCTATCGTTCAGCGGAGGACAAAGGCAGCGTCTAGCCACCGCAAGGGCCTTGCTTCGAAACCCAGATTTCCTTTTCCTTGATGAAGCCACCAGCGCCCTTGACACTGAGAGTGAACGGGTTGTCCAGGCCGCTCTCGAACATGCCAAGAGAGGCCGAACAACTATTGCCGTTGCCCATCGACTCAGCACCGTCCAGGACTGTGATGTCATTTTCGTCCTTGAAGCCGGCAAGATTGTTGAACAAGGTACCCACCAGGAACTTTTAAGGCGGAAGGGCCGATACTTTGAGATGTGCAAAGCCCAGAGCCTTGACCGTGAAGCATGATACCCAAACTCGCTCTAAAAGTTAAAAATAAATCTCTCCTTTCTAATCACGATTCTTCACTCCTGTTACTTTTAATGTCTCGAAATTTGCCTTCTTGTTTATAGCTTATCTTCAGCAACCTGCAAGCGAAGCAGCATTTGTCATATTTAGACAATAAAGCCCCTAGTTAATCAAGTTTTTTTTATGCTTATTCAAGAACCATACAATTAATTACGATCCTGGTGTAACTTGAGTTTGTTTAGAGCATGGTCAATCAGTTACGTAGCTTTTATGGCTGAGATCTCGGAAAAACATCGTATTAACTCTCGCAAAAGCAATACTTTCAGCCTCATCATTGCATACAGTTAGCCCGCTCCATTAACTAACCAGTTATTACTAGAGTTTAAATCATCTTCTGCAGTTCTAGCCCTGATAGCGGGTTTCTTTTATTTTTCATACATTTATACATATATATGAAATCTTTCCCACTACATCTACAATTTACTACTAAACTACCTTCAACACTATATATTCGTCGTATAGGGTGGAATGGGAGACTTTCATAAGCGGAAGGAGGGTGTAAACGACCTAACAACTACGGCCTAGCACCGTTCGCCCAACTAACTATAACTAACTAATCAAGCAGCGAAAAAATCGTGGCGGTGGGTGGCATCCTTGTTAAGTAGTTAAATAGACGTAACCCTGATACTACCAGTATAACTTCCATCAACTTGACACTTCGGCTCTGCCTTGAGAAGGTGATTGTATCCAATGAGCCCACAGATGCGGCCTGATTCAGGCGACCTTTCCACGCCGACACAGTGCAGCAACCCATTGGGAAGCTTTGGGAGCAATTCCAGCTGCTTTATAACAAGTTGGTAGTTGCCAAATAGTTCGTGCGCGCGTATATCACCTTGCAGGATTCCATGACCCAGGGTGACACAGATATGATCTTCCACCATAATAGCATGTGCGTCAGGGTTGGAATCAGGTTCAAGCAAAACTGAGTATATGTTTCCTGAGAAGGCTTGAGCATCTCCGTTGGTCATATTTATGGGGTACTCCCATTTACCCTGAAATTTCATTGGATGCCATGGTGTGATTTGGAGACAGTCGATTTCACAGATTTCAACGTCCTTCACAATGCTCTGTAAAACGGCCCTAACTTTGCGCGGCCCCTGTGGAGTCCATACGGAAACAGGTGGACGTAGGTATTCAATAGGAATAGTAGGACTGACACGCTCACTTCCGCTACCGGCAAGTCGGACGCGGCAGCTTCCTGTAAAGCATGGTCCGCTAGATCGGTTATAATGAGACATACGCATTGCAGGGCGAGATACGCCAGGGGGTAAGGTCGGGACGGAGCGCGATGGCTTAGGCGGTGGTAAGTTGTCAAACACTTCGTCAAGCTCAGTCCGACACTTGTTGAACAGAGGGGAGTCTTTCCCATACATCAGTGGGCCTGAATCCTTGAAGCTATTGCATAACTGATTTACATGTGCGTTGAGGATCGAAAGGACTGATAGTAAATAGTAAGAATAGAGCCTAGATTTAATAGGGGCTTTGGCGGGGAGATACTCACGATAGTGCTGGCCCCAGCGGCCATAGAACTCCGTAGACGACAATGCCATGCTTATTTGCCCATGTGGTGATTCACCAGCGATGTCCTCGAAGAGGCTCAGATTATATTCATCAGACTGGCTGAGACCTTTGATTTCAGTAGCCAGGCTTTCTAGCTTTGTTCGAATATCTTCAATATCTGTAGTAGGGAAGTTGAAGTTCTCCGCTGTATCTTCAAGTGGATGGAAAGTCCTTAGAAGTGTACAAAGCCTTGAACGCATAAGATGGTAATCGCACACAGCCTGAGATACAGAGATCTCATCGATGTGAGCCATTTTTTGCACCTCAATCTCCCTCGTCTCGCCACCGGCAGTATAAACAAGTTTGCCTTGCATATTGACTGTGCGACTCTTTGATGATTTACCATAATGAATAATAATGTCCCGGGACTGGCCATATCGAAGGCTTCCAAGCCTCAGCGATATTCCATTGCCGGTTGACTTTTCTAATTCCAAGCCGGGTTTACTTCCCAGATCTACGCGGAGCTCTGAAGAAGAATCCCCTTGGAGGATAAGCTTTGCTTGGGGTGTGAATGTTGAAAATAAATTTGCAACAGCATGAACGAACACAGTTCCTAGAGTTTTATTAGTTATACACTCGTTAACACAAGTAGACTAAACTATACATACCAATCATACCAGCATCCGGTATGAATGCGAAGATGCCACCGCCAATTTCAGCAATGGACTGTAACAATGGTGAGCGGAGATAGTACCCAAAGCCAAATGTATGGATTAGCGGCAGGCTTCCTGTTGAGTTACGGTGGTCCAACAGCGTCTGACGCAATTTAGGCACATAGCCTTGGGCAGGGCACATATGGTTGGGTGCACCTAAGAGGAAGAGTTCAGTTTCTATCACTAGGACGACAATAGAAACAGAAATATACGCACCATCCGTCAAAACAAGCAGAGATTGTACATTTTCCCGGACTGGAGTGGCAGTGAGAACCTTCAGGCCTTCTTTTATCCCATGCCATAAGTTGGTTGAGCTAGTGCCGTAGAGTTTATTAATGGCCCTTAACACCATTGACTTGTTTTCTTTATTCATGAAATCAAGCTCAAAAGCAACCTACGTCAATTTTTAGATAGTTAGACTCAGATGAATTACCTGGGAAAGGTGTTAGGTGTTATTATGCATACCTTCACCTCGGTGCAGAAGGTAACCACTGCAAGCCTATCATTTTCATTGAGAGTTTCGATAATTGTCCTGGCCGCATGCTTCGTCAAGTCCAAGATGCTCAAACCTGTATCCTCGCCACCTCTCTCACCAGTCGGTATAGGAGCCGAGGAATTCATACTCCCAGAGATGTCAATTACGAGAACAATGTCACAAGGAACATGTGGTACATCGTTCTCTGGCTTGAGGGGGGGCTGGATAGAGACGATCATAGAATCTTTGTTAGGAATGGAGTGTATAGTTAGTATAGGCTCTTGCGTCAGGTTCTCTGTAACGGCAGTCGTGCCAGCGTTAGCAGGCCGCAAAGGGATCTGATGGTCTTCGATTATCTCGAAGCCATCGTCGCTAGAACTAGTAGCCATCTTGCCTACTAGTTATCGTTGGCTGTCGAATTTTTGAGTGACTGAGAGGAGAAATGGGGAATTTGCGAGGATTCAGCCATGTCACATCCATTCTGCAGGACTTGGAGCCTTTTTATAGGCAGCAACACCAGCACCAGGGAGGGGGTGGCCGTTGTCCATCTTCAGCCTTTGCGAGGCTGAAAGAAGGTGGGCTGAGCCTTAGTTACGGCAGCTTAGTTAAATAGCGATTGTGGCTGAACTGCACCAACTGTTTATTGGTTTCAAGGTCATCGTATTAACGAGCAGACTAGCCAAACTCTTCGCCTTGTTGTGTCTGGCCCAGGACAGCGTCCTATCAACTCCATCATCCTTCACGCTCCCGTTCTTCCTCCCTTGTCTTCTCGTTCTCCTTTTTATACCCGTCGAGAAAGAACGAAGTTGAAAAAAGCTCAGCACGTGACCCCAAATGCACGGGCCATTTCTCTAGAAAATACACTAATCCGGTTAGTTCGACCCTTCCTCCCTTTTGACCATATCTGGCGAAAACGCGTATCAGGCAAGCGATTATTATATCATATCCGGAGGATAAGACGGGGAAACTCATGTGTCGTTACGGAGTTTTCGGGACCCGCCATGCTACAATTTGTACTGGCACATTATACCCTCCCGTGCCAGAACCAGGGAAGCAAAGAATATAAATTATGACCTCAGCTATCCTTCGGCACGTTGTTTGTTTCCAAGTTCTTCGATGGCTTGTCAGATACTATGATGTATTTGACCCTCATAGCCTGCTTAAAGCTGATACAGCCCGCTGAATGAGGCCGACGAGCTCATAATTCATGCTTTACTGATCATACTTTCTGGACTCATGGTACCCTTCATAACATACACAAACTCGTTTCACTAACCCTTCACGTATGATACCATCTAGTTTTAGCCTCGACCATTTGAGGCTTTTGGTGGCCTTAGTTTTGGCTTGGGGAGTTTGGACTATGTTAAAGGCCGCCAAGCGCATTTTTCAGAATATCTGGTCACCCATTCCAGGCCCGAGCCTTGCCAAATTCAGCAACTTATGGATCCAATATAACATTTTCAAAGGTTTGTGTTGCTCGATTTCATTGAGATATAACCACATTTGCTATCCCATTACTGACCATAGGAGTGTGTAGACTCTGGTCGAGTCTGGGAGACTGTTCATCGCCTACATCAGAAGTACGGGCCCGTTGTCAGGGTAGCGCCGAATAGCGTATCCGTTTGCCATCCTGATGCATTGCGAACCATTTACCATGGCCCACGTGGACTTAACGGGGGGGAGTTATTATCAACCCTCCGCCAATATAACTCCGAAAACCTTGTCAGCACACTTAACAGTGATCTTCACTTTGCACGCCGAAGACAAGTGTTCGGCCTATATTCGGCACCAGTTGTCTCAGGGCCAGCCCATCAAGAGATTTTCAAAACATATATTAACCAATTCATGACGATGGTCGAAAATGAGGCCTCTAGCTCACCGTCTAGAGTGGCAAATGGGCTGGAGTGGGTAACATGGCTCACTGGTGATATAATGATTCATTTGGTGTATGGGAATGATCACAACATCAAACTTCTGGCAGATAAGATGTCAAGAGATATGATGACCGAACTTATACCTAAAACCAGTGCGTCAGATACTACTGCATTGGAGGCAATAGCAGCACTATACCCAAGTAAGCCAAGCCTCTGGCTCTTTTATTTTCTAGCATGTTTTAACATACAATTCGATAGGGGCCATTTCGCGAATCCGTGCTATTTTCCCCGAGAAATCAGCCATGTCAGAGTTTGGACTGAAAAGGGTAGAGGCTGCTCTATTGGAATCAGCTCAACCAGAGCCAGCTGCGCCAAGCGGCCCTTCCAGCACGCATCTTGGGCGCCTTATAGAGCTCTACCGTAGTAAAGGGCCGAGCCCCGAAATACCAGACAAAAGATATATTGCAAGCGATTGCTTGGATCATTTCCTTGCTGGTAAGCCTCTGAGAAAATACTAATACAAGCTATCTGTCAGACTATAACCACAGTACTAAAACTTAGTATAACATAAGGTACCCGGACAACAAACGATTTCCTTGGAGCTGTGCTTTGGCGCCTCTCCCTTCCTGAAAATATAGCATGTCAAGAAAAGCTCCGGCTAGAGCTTCATGAGGCGGGTATTAGGCCCGGAGAACACCCAGACCTCTCGACCCTGCAGAAGCTGCCATACCTGAACTGTGTTCTCAAAGAGACTCTCCGCACAAACCCACCAATTCCGCTACAGCTGCCAAGAGTAGTCAAAGATGAACCTCTCACCGTGATGGGTTTCAAAATAGAACCCGGGGTATGCTATCACTCATTTCAATCTATTAATGTTTTCATTAATCCTTTGAGTACTGCTAAAATCGAAACTCTATAGACCACCATTGCTTCTCAATCTTACACCCTTCACCAAGATCCAACACCTTATCCAGACCCAGAGGCGTGGATGCCGGAAAGATGGGACATCTCCCCAAAATCAGATGAATACCGTCAGATGCAACGTTCATTTTGGCCCTTTGGTTCTGGCGCGAGGATGTGTACCGGAATGAAGTAAGCTCATACATGTCCCTGAAACAATTGGTTGCCTTTCCTTCGTGGTAGACACAGAATACTAATCAACCTCTCTACATGAATAGCGTTGCTTGGGCGATGAGTCGATCAATTGTTGCTAGAATCTATAGCACATACAGTACGTCGTTGGATGATGTATGGTTAGACGGTAATGGTGCATTACTTCCCCCTGAGAAAAGGAAGGACTTGTACCCATCACTACCTAACCAACCCCTCAGGTTTAACAAAATTTAAGCCGGTAAAGGCGATTTAACCATGTTAGGCGCTGTACCCAGTACTTGTATTTTAGGCCTTTATCTCCACACACCATATAGTCTCTTCTCTCACTTAAGGTCGCATCTTCCCCCTATTCTGAAGTGTAAACCTCAACCCCTGAAGCCATGGCCTCGTGACGTCATGAAGAAAGTAATAATGGGCTTAAGCTCATGAAGGGTTCATATGTTATATTACACTTCGGGTGGCCTAATATGGTCTATATACACATGTCTATCTGATTTCAATGAATAGCCAAATATAGTAAACACCGGAAATGCCCAATTGGAACGTGCGAAGAGCAAGGTGCGACAAATGGTATCAAAATGATCAAAAGCCGATCATCTCGCTGGTATAAAGAGTATTGTCCTGTTAAATCCAGGAGTATTCTGTTTTCAGTCTCCCTCCTATATGGAGCGCATTTAACATGAGTCTCCTAGGCATGGTGGCGGCCTGTTCCCCACCAAAATATGGGCCGGGGAGTTACTGGTATCGAAGGAAAAAAAATTTTAAGCCACGAGATGGTGTTGAGAGCGCCGTTTCGTCGGGCTCAGGTTGGAAGTAGGGAATGTACTGAACTGTGGGGTTACTGGAGATACATCTTCGCTGTCATCGCCGATGTTACCTATCAATTTACCCTTGACTCTTTGATCAACCTACAAGCGGAAGAAATGTTAGGAACGCTGTTTGAACATATAGGAGGGAACAGAGGATAAAATACCTTATCGAGCTCATAGTTCTTCATGAGCAAGCTCAAAGGTATCAGGGGTATGCAAACGCAAAGGGCAATAATTAGGAGAGTCTGCATAGTTTCTTCATAGGAACGGATAATGGCGTCCCTGGTTGGCGAACCCATTGGGTATGATAGTGCTTTAGTCAGCTTTCCAAAGATTTCAGTAGCTTCTCCCTTCGTTTCATCGGGGAGATATTTCGCTAGTTTATGTGGTAGATAGCTGGTCCAGATGGCACCCGATACAGCGGACCCCACAGCTCCGCCCATCTCAAGAGCAGTCAGAAACATAGCAGTGGCCGCAGCTACCTGTTGATGATTCGCTGAGGCTTGGACACCGAGTTGAACAGGAACATTGACGAGTCCGCCTCCCATACCAATTATGGACTGCACGAAAAGGATTTGTACTGTGGATTTCCCTGACTTGTGAGTAAAGAGCATCAAAGCTAGCCCGAGCATGTAGACGACGCAGCCAAAGGTGACAAACGGGCGGTATCGTTTTGAGTATTTGATCATGAAGGAGACAACGAGGGCGGCAATTGTGGACATGAAGGAGAACGTCTGGGTGATTCTTCCTGCGGTAACGACAGGTTTTCCCTGCACCACCTGCAGGTAAGAGTAGAAATAAGGCTGAACAGAGAAGTAAAATGCCACTATTGGTTATAGAGTTAGCAACGAGATGGACCTTTAAAGGCGCTATACGGGGGATGGGAGCTATACTAAAGTAGAAGAAAGCCAAGGCACAGCCAGCAAGGGCAGTCCTCTGGCGGAGAAGACCCAAGGATAGCAGAGGATGCGGCGCAAGGCGTTTGGATGTCTCCCAGAACGGATATGCAATCAGGCATACACCTCCAATAACAATCATAGCTATGATACCCCCATTCCGCCAGCTGTCCTTTGCATGGGCAGCCAGAGTCAGGGGCACAAGAATCAAGGTCACTGCGGCAGAGAGCAGGATGAGGCCAAATACATCCAACTCAAACCATGCACTGCGAAGCACCTTCTTCAGGCCTTTGCCCTTCCATGGTTTGGACTTTAACAAGTTCAATTTCTGGGCTTTCCTTTGATTGATGTATAGTGATAGAGCCAAGGGGAGGAATGCCAATGGCAGGAGTAAAGCCCACATGCCATATCCCCACCTCCAGTTGAGTTGCTTGAGTACCCAAGATGCGATCATCGGTCCGAGCCAAACAGTAAAGAGGAAGGGTATATCCGGAAGATTAGCGAATAGCGCTCGGTTGAGTAGGTTACTGCTATCAGCAATGAAAACCTGTTGGAGTATCTGTAGTCCAGTAGAGCCCGCAGAGTAAAATATCTGGGCGGATGCATAGGTCTCAACGTTCTGTGAAGCAGCCATCTGTATATATCCAAGAACATAGATGAAGACTGCAATACAGAATGCTTCAAAGCGACCAAAGACATCTGCAAACTTAGCCATGGGCGGTTTAATTACAGCTAAGGGGCGGTCAGGTTAGCAGTCGATGCCTTGGATCGAGAAAAATAGGTGAGTAGAGGGGGGTATCACCAACCGTTAACCACGTTTTGTATGACCAAAACGGTTGAAATAAGGGAATGTTTGCTAAAGGAACTTGTAGCATAGGCAGTTAGGGAGGCCACTGTCTGGACTTCGAGGGACGTGCAAAATGCCATGAGCATGATACTAGAAGATACACATAACTGTTAGTATGACGTACTCTCTGTGTCACATTCGTTATTAGAAGTAGAGCACGTACCCAAGGTATGCAATTACCAAAGATCTCTGCGTCCATGTCTTGCTGATAGCTTCGATCTTGCGGACGCCTTCCTGGACTTCACTGTCCGATGAAGACGGGTAGGGACTGATGTGAAGCCGTTCATCTGTTTCAACTGCATCTTCCGTGGCCTGCAGCAGCCGGTCTACCTCTGCTGTATCTTCCATCCTGTCGTCTGGGTCACAGCTACCATATGACGGAACAGTTCCGGTGTGTATTTGGCCCATCGCTACCAGAGGAACACGCAGAGAGAGAAGGAGGAAGAGACGGAGTAGCTGTCAATTGTAATCACCACGTACCGCTAGGTGCGTTCGAAAACATCCGATCGTGCTCGCCGACTCGTTCGAGGGAGTAGAGGTGTCGTGTGTGTTAAGGATATATATATAAATATATAAAGCTACCCATCCATGTATGTATATCTGGGTTAAAGAAGGTTACCCTCCTTGCCTCTCCGGATGCAAAAAATAAACACCTGCACCGCTTGAGTCAGATATCAGGCTGCAACCAGCAAGGTACGAGCTAATGCAGCTGATTATGGAATAATGTCCGGCGCACGAGATCAAACAGGGACGGAGAGCGGATTTGTTTCATTTTCTGCAGCCCCCAACGACGGCAGACCAGGTACTTATATACGAACGACTCCGGCCGGGAGTAAGGACGCAGCGGCTGCGTGGGCAGAGGAGTGACAGGTACGAGGCTAAAAAATTGGTCAGATGAGGCTTGCAGATGCCTCCGCAAATCAGACGCAGCAGGGCCGACAGGTCGCCCCTTCACGCTTTCAGCAACGGGGCTCGTGGAGGGCGGGAGTTGGGCGGGCATGGAGCGGTGCCTCCGTATCTCTCTGGCATGAATGCAGTAGCTCGGTGGACAGACACGCGCCCTTTCGCAAGAGAAGAAAGGGCAGAGAGAAAAAACCACCCCCATGCGACGTATCCTGGAGTCTGCGGACGAACTAACGACGGCTTTGCCTCCCGCCTCGCAGGAGACAAGATGATCTGATATGATAAGATTAGGCCGCAAAGTAGAGGACCTTGCACGTTTATGTCAGCATTTAACGGCCTGCTATTGGTTACACTGCACCCGTTTTACCTATTACGGTGTAGCGTGCTCCAGATTATCCCTTGGCAGACATGACGGGGCTAGGCCGAAAGAGGCAGTCATCGGCTCTGGTCGGATCTGATAGCGAAAAGGCCCGTTTGGTTCCGATCCGACGCAGAGTTGGGACAATAACACAAAACAAAAAACATGATGCATCATTAAGGATAAATAGTATCTAAATAACAAGATGGTGATGGCGAAGCTGATCAAGCTGGCAAAGTTGATGGATGTTGTGCTAGACCTCGAGCTGGGAGAAGGACACGGAGAGGTCGCCCAGCCCGGACTCTGACGACGGCCGACAGACGTACACGCCAACCCAGCACTCGAGCTGCTCCTCGTCCTCGAACAGCCAGGTAACCTCCCGCATCGGCATCCTCGAACCGTCCTGGCCAACCGCATACACCCACAGCGTCTTGTCCCTAGCCCTCTTCTCCATCTCGATCGTCACGCCGACCGCGTCACCTTCGTCAGCACCTTCGCCAGAGCCGCCCTGTCCGGCCGGGAGAGGAGACAGACTCCAGTCCGCCCATCGGTCCCTTGCGACAGTGCTGCACCGCGGCACTCCCTCGACGAACTCGATGCCTGCCTTGATCCACTTCCTGTCCTTGTCGGGGTCATGGTCGTGTCCATGTTCGCTTGGTCGGTTAAGCGCCAGAATCAGGCCTCCTTGGTCGTAGAGCGTCGTCCACTTGGCTGAGACTCGTACGCGAGCTCGCTGAAAGGAAGCCAGAGGCATGGTCTTGTAGAGTATGGGGGCACTGAAACGGTAAGTCGAGGGCGGTTTGGCCCATATGTCTGTGGACGGCGGTGCTCTGACGGTGAAGCTGCTCGCCAGCTCCTCGTGCGAGGGGACCGGCTGCTTCGTGTTCTTGAACGTCCAGCCTGACATCGTGGTCTAAGACACCTAGACGGCAACTTCTCTTTATACGTGCTAGATTAGATAGATGGACTGTACGAGGACGCTGTTTAGATCTCAGTGTTGAGCATCTGGATGGTTGTTATCAGTAGATAGATATACTGTGGTTCGGGTGACCCCGCAGGCCGCTGTTACAGCCAGGTAGCTACTCCATACACCTTTCCCCCACCGTCAAAGTCTTCAGGGATAACTAAGTAGACACGTAAACACAGACGAGGGAGGATCCAGGCTTTTCTACATATTTGGCCAAAGAAGGGCGCAGCAAGATGACAACGAGGCAGATACGAGGACAGACGCCCAGGAGTCGACGCTCGTTGGTGAATTCCTGCTAAGAAGACGGACTGGTCACGGCGTCGGTGTCATTGGCCGGGGATGGGCGACAGCTCACAGACTCCAGTATAGCTAACTTGGGTCTTGCAGGCGGCCGGCTGGTCTCCGGCTATGGCGACTGCAAGCATGCGACTTGCGACTGGAAGCAGACGAGGGAGCATCAGCCGGCAGTTGAGAACAAGGGGTGCGACCAAGTGCTTCATAGCATCCAACAGATAACCAGTAACCTAGGGATACATCTACAGAGCTCACAGCTAGTCAAGATATACCCAGGATCTGACATGGTTGACTCGGAGAAATAGTTTCATGATCTCGCCCTTTTTATTTAACTAGGGGAAACGGTGAAGTGGGAGGAAGGGATAGACAATGTTTCAATATACTGACTCGCATGCCTCCCTGGGAGTCGAATGCATGTACAAGCTGATATAGACCGTCGTTGAATAGTATGCATGTATGGATATGCATAGCTAGAGCTGTTCAATGGCATATCTTTACCTCCTTTCGCCCATAATGCTGCGGCGTGTGGCCAGAGTCAGGAAAGTAAGAGTCTTCCCCGGACGCCGTTGAGCAGGGGGGGTGGACGGTGATTGACAGTCGCTAGAGAACAAGAAGCCAACTGGCTGGGGTGATTGGCCGTTAGTTATAAAACTGCAGCATCAGGCCACGAGCAGCTCCATGGGCAAGGAAGAGAGATGAGATAGCAGACATGGTTGTCTCGTTAGTTAAGTATCAGCTTTACTCCTGACATCCCGGGCTCATCCCAGGCTTCTCTCCAGTAAGAAAAACACGTCTCCAGCGGTGAATGTCTATAACTAACCAAGTAAGTAGTCCAAGTGACAGACACGTCGGTTCTGATGTCTCCTCAGCTGAGCGATGGTCTGATCTCATCTCCACGCTGTAGGACGAAGTATGGAGTAGAAAAGATAAGAAAAGAAAAGAGAAGCGGTGCTAATAGGGGGCCTTGCTTTGCTGTGGAACGCAGGTCCTGTCACATCTGAGCCAGCATACAGAGAGAGACATACATACGCCGGCCGCGGTGTTCCGTGTGTTCCTGCTGTCGCTGCTGGACGGAGCCTGTCGAGGTGAGTAACATGAGAGATCGCTACATCCAGACATCAGAAATCAGGCATCCAGGGAGGGTGCATCCGTACGGAGTAGAGTAGAGCTATATCCCCCATTCGAGAGAGAAGAGAGATGAGCCTCGAGTCAATCCGACCTGTCATGCAATAAAAGGACGCAGTTAAGGAGATATTATTTATTTATTGCCCTGATAGGCACCTACCATCGCATCATTATCATCATCACTATCAGCATCATCATCCATCCCCAGAGCTTGCTTTTTCTCGTGGCGCTCCGTCTGCAGCCTGTCACTCTTGAGCTTAACAGCGCTTCTCGCTCTTGTCTCGCCGTCTCTGTTCGAGTCTCGCCGTCTCAACGCTCACGCTCAACCGTCATCACCGTCTCTCACTATAAGCCATCGTCTTGAAGCAGCAGCATAAAGTGCAGTCAAAAGTGCAGCCGTCGTGCTCCATCTTCTTCGCCCCTTTTCTTCTCTATCGTCCATCTTCGGCCAACCCCCTGGCCGCATCACCGCTTAATTAATATCACAGCATCTCCCAAGCAGCCATCCCTTGACCTTGACGTCCAAAAAGGAGAAACAAGCATAAGCAAAGGAGACCACGGAGAGCCTTGGGCCCCCTTGTCGAGCTAGACTTCACTTGGAGATAGTCAAGAGGGGCATCGACCTGTCTGAGGCTGTTGACTGGCCCAGCTCCAGTTTTTAGTCAACTTAAGCAGCCAAAAGGTCGAAGTAAAAGCAGAAGAAGCAGACGCAGAAGCAGAAGCCAGAGGAAAAAAAGAGAGAGAGAGAAAAATAAAAATAAAAAAATAAAAAAAAAGCCCCGAACCCTTTTGCAACAATCATCGAATCAAATAAACTAAACTCACTTGCTAAACCTCGAGACCTTCAACTCTCGCCTCACTGTCTGTCTTGTCTGTTTGTCTCTCCTCCTCGGCCAGCACACACGATCGTCCGCTTTCTCTTTATACTCCCTATACTCTCTCTGCCTGTCTGCGTGTCTGTCTGCGTGTCATCTTCATCCTCGGTCTCGACGTCGTCGCCCAAGCTCGCGGCTCGCCTCTTCACTCTCTCGCTCTCTCCTTCATTCACCTCTTGTCCCGCCACTGACCGTTCAAAGTCATCCGCCCTGCCTGGTCACTCACGTTGAAACCACCGCCTGTCACCGTCTGTCCAATTCACCTCCTTTCGCGGCGACCCTCGACCTCCGTCGCTCTTCTCCCTCTTCTCTCTCTCCGTCGCCCGTCCTTCCTCTCCACCAGAAGCAACTCCAGGCCTCACACACCGCAAGTTATCTTGACATCATCCCAGGACCGTCGTCTTCTTCAGCTTCGTCTCGCCGACACCTGCCTTCCTCCCACCCTCCCAAGTTAAAAAAGCAAAGAGAGAACACCCAAAGGTAGCTCAACATGGTTGTTGCTACGATCAAGTAAGTCCTTCAGAGCGCTCCCCTCAGCGTGTGGTTGACGTTGAGATAAGCATCTGCCTCGCGTGGAGAATAAGCATAAGCATGTTTAAAAAGATATAAATATAAATAAATATCCAGAAGCTCAAGCTCACAGGCACGAGCATGAGCATGAGATGAGCACAAGATAAACAGAACTGAGACTGACGCTTTTTTACTTCTTCTTACTAGGTGCGTTGTTGTTGGCGACGGTGCCGTTGGAAAGACCTGCTTGTTAATCTCATACACCACCAACAAGTTCCCTTCTGAATACGTTCCAACCGTCTTTGATAACTATGCTGTCACAGTAATGTAAGTCGCATTGCTTGTCCCTTTTACTTTGCACTGTCTCTGCTTTTGCTTTGAGACAGAAACTCACGCGTTTTTTCGTTTGCTGTTACTGCATGCTGCGCTGTTTTTTTTTTCTTTCTTCCACTTCACTGCACACCTGTCTAACCCTTGTTGCTAGGATCGGAGACGAGCCATACACCCTGGGACTCTTTGATACCGCTGGTCAAGAGGATTACGACCGTTTACGTCCACTCTCCTATCCGCAGACCGACGTCTTCCTCGTCTGCTTCTCAGTCACCTCTCCAGCATCCTTTGAGAACGTACGCGAGAAATGGTTCCCCGAGGTCCGCCATCACTGTCCAGGCGTCCCCTGCCTCATCGTCGGAACCCAGACCGATTTAAGAGACGACCAGACTATCCGGGATAAGCTGAGCAAGCAGCGAATGCAGCCTGTTCGCAAAGAGGACGGCGATCGCATGGCCAAGGAGCTTGGAGCCGTCAAATACGTCGAGTGCTCGGCCCTGACCCAGTATAAGCTCAAGGACGTCTTCGACGAGGTCAGTCAATCAAATTACCCGTATTCTTATTCTATATCTATATATACGCTAACTCTGCAAACTAGGCCATTGTTGCTGCCTTGGAGCCCAGTCCACCAAAGAAATCTAGCCGCTGTCTACTCTTGTAGAGAGACGGCTCCGCCAGTACAGAGAGAAAGGCACAATGCCATCTGACTTTGATACAGTTACAATCTCGTGGAACAAAGGGTGTTGATTGGGCTCTTGCGTATTTATCCGGACAATTCGCTATTTAGATGCTCTTAAACTGGTATCTCACGATGCTTTCCCTTCCCCCCTCCCTCCCCATTCTCCCGTCTTTCCAGGCTCGCTGCGAGGCTGGCTCTTATTTCCCTCTATCTCTTTCTTTCAACATCCTCACACCCAGAGTTACATCACAAACACGTAATGGGGGTTTTGGGCGGCGTGCTAAGGACAATTTGAATCGGATGAATCCTCTTTTACGACTGTGCTTTTTTAATCCTGCCTTTTTCCTTTTTGTTCTTTGCTTTGTTTTGCTTTCCCCTTTTTCCCTCGTCTCTTATCAACCTGCCTGCCTGCCTGCTTGTCTTTGTTATTTGGTTCACAATAACCCTGGCCTTATTTTCCCTGGTTGCTTCTTCGCATGTGGCTTGCCTATCCTATCCCCTCGAATCCCGAACTGCATGCCATGCTGGTCTGAGAGGAAAGCTTCAGACCGAGAAAGGTGACACGCCTGCCCCCCCCGTCTGGTCTTGATCTGTTTTACTATTCCCCCTTTTATTAATCCAAGATGACAGAACTCGCTGGGCCAATACAAGTGTTCTCCCTCTCCGCTCCCGGATTCCCTTGTGGCTTTTTTTTACCCTTGTTCATCTCCTCCACTTTGTTTTCCTGCCCTGTCGATTTCCCGTCTCGTACCTTTTATGACGTTTAGATTTTATGACGCGCAGATGCCTTGAATGAAAAAAAAGTGCTCGAAAAAAAAGTATAGTTATATATCAATATTTTGTAATGTGAAAGGTCAGGTTGCGCATATGCCAAACTAAAACAAAGCGAACCAACTATTTGATCGATCGACGTATGAAGTCAGACCTGTTCGTTCTATATAAGTCACGACTCACATCCAGCGATTTAATCTAATAATTAACTACCGAATTATTCAGTTAATGACCGATCAAAGCTCGTCCTTTTGCGCTTCTGAACTATCAGCGCCCCCCTGATATGATTCCATCACACCCTCTTTGACTGACTTCTCGCCCTTTCTACCAAACCAGCCCCCGACCTTGTCCGGATCTTCAACCCCAAGTTTCACCATGCTGGCTATGATCTCGTTAACCACATGCGCAGCCGCAAGAGCAGTCCCTCCCGCTCGGTGATCATAGCTAGGCGAGACCTCCACCACATCAGCCCCAACCACATTCAGCTTCTCCAACCCACGCAGAATCCTAGCAAGCTCCCTGCTCGTCCAGCCGCCTGACTCCGGCGTTCCTGTTCCAGGTGCAATGCTGGGATCTAGCACATCTATATCCAAACTGATATACACAGGCTGGTCCGGGTCGAGGCCAACTCGCGAAACAATCGCATCGACCACCCCCTGAGTGCCAATATCATCCACATCATCCGCGTGAATGCGCATGAACCCTTTCTCTACCCCGGTACGGTAGTCTCTATCGTCTGCGCCGCCGAGATAGGACCGTAGCCCCGCGTGGGCAGACGTAGTGTTTGAAATCAACCCTTCCTGGCCGGCGTGGAACAGCCAGGTTCCGTGGTTGAGCCCGTCGACGTCTGGTTTCCAGTACCCGTCGTAGCGGGAGGATTCCCATGTGTCCTGGTGTGCATCGAAGTGGATGACCGTGATCGGCTTTTTATAGATCTGGTTCAGCGCCCTCAAGGCCGGCAGGATGATGCTGTGGTCGCCCCCGAGAGTCACCAGTTTGGGCTTGCCGTCTGATATCCTCGCTTGTCTCTTGGATTGTTTGCCCTTTTTCGGTTGGTAGGCGGTCTTTCTCATGCCTAGCTCCAGGAAGGCTTCGAACATCTGTCTTTCGGCAATCCTGTTGTCCATCTGCGTG